ACTGACTTAACTTGTAATCAATAAATCTCAGATGTATTATAATAATTTTCTCATTAACATTTTTCTATGTGTATGTACTTATCTTTTTGTCAAAATTTCCATTCACTAAAAGTATCTAGATATGTGGGTAACAGCTCTGAAAACGGCTCCGAGTTTTACCAGATTTACACCAGATTTATTATTGCCAATCTTACAGACTAATACGACGATTGTCACTTGCTGATCAGCTGTCCAAATCAGTCCCACATTACTAGACCATACGAATCGTCAAAAAATGTCACTCAGATCTAACCGTCAAAATACTTTGGTTACTTAAAGCTTCTCCAAAACTGTCAGAAATGTATTGCCAGAAAAAGCACATTACAAACAACTTCATCTGGCCGTGAATTTTAGAACGAATGCAGAAACGATCAGTTTTGGAAGAGAATGGGAAAGAGATGGGAAGAGAAAAGTCTTTTGTGGTTTCTTGCGTAACGCTCAAGGTGCGATAACAGATCTGGGTGGGTTTTCCCACTCTCGGAGTAGCTTGGCGTTTTCGGGACGATGAGCGAAGGTCTGGTACATCCAAAACAACAGATAATCTCATACTCGATTGTCGCTTTGGAAAGGCTTGATCTCTATGGGGGCGAGTTTACACGCTACCATTTCAAATTATAATGATGTCATCATGAAATATCGGCATGGTACATGACCGTTCCTCTGTCTCCGCAACACACTGTATAGAAGCGGTAAAAACAAATGAGCTATCACCCTAAAGACAGATCGATATAAAATATATTGCCATTGTTATTTTTGATTTTCAGTTTTAAAAGGGCCGTCGAGGTTACCGAAACGTTAGTAAAAAGTTAATCTTACATTTTCATTTCCCTAAGTTTTAATACTAGTTTTATTTTCCATTGAAACAATAGAAATTTTCGTTAATTGTAATTCAAAAAAGGTATACAAACTTAATGTCGGTACCACACACGTTACATGCGCGATGCATGCTGACATACCTAATTGATGTGCCGACACTCTAGAATTCCTCAAATAATCTTATGAAGGAAAGTAAAGGGTGGGCCATCTGTTGGTTTCTTTTTTAAATGGGTATTAAAACTATACACTCTTCAATAATATGTAACACCCGGTACTTTATTCAAAAGAATACAGATTCCGATTATTTATGAAAAACAATTTCAGTTAAATGGCTGCCGCGGCTGGCCTGGCGGTAGTCAATCCTCTTAACCCAATTTTGAAGCACATTTCTGATAGTTTGTGGCGCTATTTATATATTTAAGAACATCAATTGTTTGAAGATCTTCAGTATAGCAGCGGTCGTTAACGCTGTTCCATCTTCATCTTGAAAAAAGTAGGGACCAATAATCCCACCACTTCAAAAGTCACACCAAACAGTTACTCTTTTTGGATGCATTGTTTTTTCTATGACATTTAGATTTTCAGAACCTGAAATACTACAGTTCTGCTTATTAACGAAACCTCCCAGATGGAAATGGGCTTTGTCCGAAAATATGATTTGTCGACTAAAATTGACGTCCGTTTCCAATTGATTTAGAGCCTTCACAGAGAAACGATATCAAAGCGGATGGTCATTTTGTCTCAACTCTTGCACAAGTTGCACCTTGTAAGGAAATAATCCCAGGTTGTCATGCAATATTCTCCTCACAGAAGTGCGACTGTTGTCTACTTGTGCTCTGTGACGATTTGCGTTTTCACGCACACTCTGTGCAATGTTTTCGGCTGTACGTACAGATCAAACACGCTTAAACCTTCTGTCATCCACAAACAGACCAGTTTCATGAATCTTCTTCACGAATTTTCGTATACCAGTCGCGGACGGAGCTTTATTCCGACCAAATAATCTTCTCAATTTTCTCAAGATTTCTGCAACACAGCACTCGCATTGAAAATAGTTTTTCAATATTTCCCACCTTTGTTCAAGGTTGAAGCGATCCATTGCTCACAGCGGAAGTTTGACTCAATATATCTGTCAATATGTTGAGCATGAAAATGTTACCAACTGTCAATATAATACAAACTTAAAAAAAACTGATGGCTCACACCTTATATATGAACACAAGAGTATGTCTGCAATGACTCAAATTTTTAGCTGGGTGTTGAGTTTTCAAGAATAACGTTGCCTTCATATTGTATCTTCGAAAATATATTAGATACTACATATTTTTTTTAGTGAGCTTGAACATTTCTACATAGGAACCCTATATTCTCCTCAGACGAACGTCACTAAGGAACACAAGATTATAATATGCTGATATGTGTTTTATTAAATACCAGCATGATCTTAGTGTGATAGGGTAAACTGGACAAAAACCATATACTTGAAGTTTCTTTAAGTTGCCTTGAATTTGTATTTGGAAGAGAGCAGCTTGTTCTGAGCCTAAGAATCACGAATTCAAGAACTTCGCCTATTACCACGATCAGATCAATGTTTGGCTAGCCACTAGATTCAGATTCTCTGTCTACCATAACCTGAAAACTTCTGTTAAACGAGAAGCACTGCTTTCGTGAGGTACCAATACGTTATAATTTTGATGTCATTCATGGTCATAATAATTACCCAAAGTATACGAGTAGTTTCGCGAAAGGACAGTAACTGATTCGCTTCGCAATTTTATCAACCCAATTCCATTGGGCACCATACGTTAACAATAAAAAATTAATTTTTGGTATAAAATTGCTACGTTTCATAACTTAATAACCATTATTACGGGCATCATGGACCAAGCTACATAATAACAGATCCATAAGTAATTATTTCCTCTCAGAAGTGGACAACTTAAGTGGCCCAGTGAAACCATCATCTCACTTTAGTTTAAAGACTTAATAACAAGGAGAATATTTGTCATGAAACCAGTAATTACACTCATTAGGTTTGAGATGCGTAAGAAATGAGTACTAAAAGAGCTGTCGCAAATCATGCAATCACGTTATTCGCAGTTGTCTATGGTAATTATGTTAATAAGGACACGGAAGATGCATACCTCATCGCTGTAATTCGCTATCATTGGTTGCTTCAATAAATTATACGATTTCCATTTAGTAAAGACAACTCAAACTCGTGTTACTATTTTTGACTTCTTCGAAGTCTATTGGAGATTAGACATAAACGCAGGCTAGTTTTAAAAATGGTGAATGTGTATACATTTTATAGAAAATTGTTCAAAAGTAAATGAAAAAATTCTTGACTACCTGCCATCTACGCCAGTCTTTGTTAGGGACCTACGGATGGGGTAGTAGGGAGCCTGGTTGGAATTGGGGGGCAAAAGATTTATTGGGGCTATATATTCAAAACGAAAATTGAAACTTACGTATCCATATTGATACATCGGGTGGCGCTAGACGATCTAAGTTTGAGAACCTGTGAACTTTAGTTCAGTTCACTCTTATTCATTCATCCCTATCACACATATATTATATGCAAAAATATAAAATTATATTTTGAGAAAGTGAATGAAAGCAATTGTCCTTTCTCCATGTGTGCAAGAGTAGCTGTGTCTCAGAGCCGTTTACCTAGTGTGCAATTTTACTCTGGAGCTTTAGCCCGCACATGGTGAAGCTAGTGAAAACATTTAGAGACTATCGGTGCATAAAGGAATTTGATGTTTTTTGATAGAATCGACCGGTGCCCATATATCTCCATTTTACGGCTCTGAATGATGCTTCGCAACGCTTTATAATCTTATGATGAACATACAGGAAATCAGCAAATCACCTCAACTCACCAACTTGTAGCCAAGGAGGGCGGAAATGTAAATACTACTTATTCAAGTACAATTTAAAATTTTCCCCATCTAAAATCTAGATGTAAATCCATTTGTTGGGTTTTTTTTGTGTAGATAACTCAACTGATGTCATTGTCTCGATGACATCTCTCAGAAGCCATATTTGAAATCAGCGTCCCAAATTACCCCAATCTACCGAATTTGACCCAATTCTAGCATTTATTAACGTATTCTACCTGAAGATAGCTAACCGGCGTCCAAGAAAATGGATCCAAAAGATACTAGCACCATCTGTGAGACAGTAGCAGAACGCAAAAATGAATTTAGAAATCTACTTTGAAAATAGTCGTTACTTGGTGCCTAAAATGGTCGTTACTTGCTTGCTTCTACTGTCTCACAGATGGAGCTGGGATGTTCATTCCCTTATTGGTCTCTTTTATGCCTATATTAATTGGGGATCTTCAGGCATTGATTAACGTATTCCAGTTGAAGATACTGAAATATAATATGAATAGGAAGATCCTACCGATATCTATGAAACAGTAGCAACACTGTTCAAAGTCTATTTCTAATTTTCTTTTCGTTTTCCAGTGACTGCTAGATGGCGCTAGTATCTTTCAGATACCTTTTTGGACGCCGGAAAACAATGTATTGAGGGTTATCTTCAGGTAGAATACTTTTGACGATATGCTAATCACGGGGGACGATAATGGAAGTTTAAGCAACGTTTGACGAATGGTTTCACACATGTTTTGCTTATGTACAATCTTTACGAAACAAGCGCAATCGGATGCGTAGGTAACGAACCTGATGTAAGTTTATTGACAACTTTTTTTCAAACATACAGTGAAACCTGGTTAAGGTGATTCTATATATTGATAAGTCTCTCTACTGAGAATTACATACAATAGAGTTTCGACACTTTTGCATTCCACCTCACCAACCAATTGATATCTTAGATTTCTGCAACGACATTTTATCAGGTTTGAACAACTTGTGACAAGTTGGCTTTGATTAACATTTCCACTTCTATAAACGTTCAATCCCTATATAGGGGCACTCTATAAATTGGACAACTTTTATTTCGAACATGAATATTTGTAAAATTGGGTAAATGATCATATCTCCCAGGTTCCTTGAGATACGAGTAATAACGGTTTCACTATAACACAATCTCGATCGTACAAATATGAAACTGGAACTCAATTTGTCTTCAGTTTATTCATTCTAGATATATATAAAATAGTCATTTTGTTTCAGGTGTCCATTGTCACCTTGGCGAGCATAGGATTAGTACAACCCATCATGGTGACGTTTGGTACCAACCAAGGTCCTATCGTACCGCGACAACGACAACCGAAATCAACAGCTGCTCAGGAACGATCGTTTACTCCTAAGGACCCAGCTCCTGTCTCAGAAGAAAGGGACGATATTCCGAATCCGAACCAGTATCAGCCGTTGGTGCCTCACCAGTACAGGACCAAGCTGTACTCTTTGAAGCCGTCGCCTAATCTAATACTAGGTATGATATTGCCAAAGGTTTTCCAATAAATATGGATTGTCAATGACATAGAATGGAACAAAGGAAAAATCGCACAGTCATGATGGTCAATTTGTTATATACATATATATATATATATTTTCGATGTCCAATTAAATACAAGAAAATCTTACATTTATGTGACATCCTTCATGACAGTAGTTCTCAACGAAACATTACACCCATACTCAACATCCACCCACTAAACTAAATGTATGCGTAACCACTTCCTTTTGTTAATAGTTTAAAAATATTCAGACCTTAATTGTAAATAAAAGCATCAACAAACATGACTCTAGAAGTACAGAGCAACGTGCCATATTGCTAGAGAAATAATGACTGTTTTACGAAGAGCAAAATTTGGAAAGTTGTTCAAAATATTCGCCCAAAAATCTACCGACAAGAGAAGTAACCAAAATTCTCAGATTTGTGTTGCTTCCAGACATACGCGTACGAGAGCTGTAAATTAAGTGATGACACTGGTAACGTAGCGTTCGATGTGGCAACACTGGACGTGCCGGGCTTGGAGGGGAGACAGGGGAACATGTGATCCGTCTTCAGTACAATTTTGAATTCATTCGAGTCATTTGGTTGTCCGTAGAGTTTTTTTTTTGTGAAGCAGTTTTCTCTATTGTGATCTAAAAATGAGTGGCATCAATTTCAAGCAATACTTGCTATCAAATTTTGCTTCAGACTTGGGCACAGTGCAATGGAATTTCTTGCTAAACTTCAGCAGACCAACGGAGATAGTGTTTTGTCAAGAACCCAAGTTTTTCGGTGGTTCAAGTTACCTTCAGAAGGGAGTGAGTCGATTCAAGATGAACCGACTGAAGTATCGACAGAATCCGGGATCTAGGGAGTTCAGATCGTGAAAAACAACCTCAAGGAAACTCACTTTGGGACAGTCAAAAACATTCAAATGGATGTAGCCGACCACCAGAAGGCTTTTCCATTATCTGAGTTCCAGCATTGCTATGAGGAGTGGAAGAACCATCTCGAGCGCCGCGTGGCTTTAGAAGGAAGTTATTTTGAGGGTGACGATATAAAATTATAATTGTATTGGGATGAAAAAATTAAAAAAATCAGTTTGATTATCAGTTTTCATACCTAACTACCAACATCAGAGAAATGACTGGAGCTACTTAATTTCATTATGAATATATGAGAGAAATAAATCATTCAATCATATAGAAAATACCTTGGAATAATCCTAGATCCACACTTGCGTTGAGATGTTCATATTTCATATATTTAAAAAAAAGTCTCGTACAAAATTAAATACATCAAAACATTACAAAAGTAAAATATCTCTATACCGTATATACTTAATCTAGCCACACTTAACCTACGGTATATTGGATATTTTTAAAACAATGAACTTAAGGGCGATGCTTATCAAACCAAAATTATATCCAACTGATACCTTATACAAAGATATACATGTATTTTACTTTAAACAGTTTTATCTCTTACATGCTATACCCAACTAGGACAATGCATAAACTAGGAGGACCAGTTGTACCTAGTACAAAAAAATCTATAAGACAACGACCATACCTTTATTTAGGATCAAGATTGTATGCAAACTATATGAACGGCCTACGATTTGGGAATAATTTTAAGAGAAAGTTAAAAGAATGGATTTTTTCTCTGGCAAGACTAGATATACTCAAATCAATAGTAAATGTAAACATCAAATAATATGTTGGTTAGTTTTATCTTTATTCATATTTCAATAATATGCACAATTGCAACATTAATGGTCCATGTACAGCCAATGCTTCCTATGGACCCTTGCTTCATATTTTGTTGTTATTAATAAATGGTCGCCTTCTATCTTGTGACTGGTTCATTCATACCATGATTGCTACCTACATTGATATGGAATAGTAATAACATTTATTTCTGGAAGAGCGCTTGAGAAATATAAGATGTTTGTTTCAGGAACTCCACTGGACATAAAATACTCTCAGGGCTTGAACAAGTACACCTTCACAAAAAAAGATCTGGCGAAGAGCCTAAAGCTAGGTCGAGACTACAATGGGCCGCACATTTTTGAAAAACAACCCTACGAATTCTCATTGGAGAAAAAAACCTACCTCAAACCTGTCAAATCCGCTTACTTTGATCAAGCAGTGGACCGAAGCGACAACGTCAAAGTAAAATACGTGCCACAGATTGGTATTGTCTATTCAGCAGGTGTTAGATATTACGTACCACAGTTCTTTTTATATAATGTCAAACCGTTGAGGCAACCTGAAGACGAAAATTCGGTATATGACGTAAATGATGTGAAATATTAGAAGAAAAGTTTAGTTGATTATATAAATTCAGTGCCAAACAGTTTTATTAATTCCGCAGTATTGTGTGCGTCAGTATACTCAAAATTTCTCATAGAATCTGGAGCTGAAAGCAGAGTTTAGTGTAGGTAATACTCATGTATGTAAATACAAGACGAATTTAAGTGACAGTGTGTGCCAGAAGTTCATACATTTACAATTTCATTTTGTTTTCCTATAGAATCGAAAACGTTCAGTCTCACAGTTCTTTCCGTTCTTCTGTGCCACGAAAGTTCATCTATGTCTATCAGATTTTCAAATGAACACACTTCTTGTGGCCTCAATAACTGTGATTTTATCTGTCAATTCCTGTTTCCCTAGATATTAGACTGTCAAATTATACAGTATATGTTACCACGACATGACAACACTGATTCAAATATATGTGAGATTTATGATTTGTAAACCCGGGAATGCTTGAGTTGCAGTTAGACTATGTCCGATAAATAGGCAGCAGTGTTGCCATTTATACTCCCTGTGCCTGATATTATTTTAACTTAACGGTGTATGGACTTTTGGCCCAAACTGTAAGTGTATGTACATTTTATATAATAAGCATGATAAAAATACCTCACTCAAAGGTCAGTTAGATGTAAGAGTACCGGTTTAACTTACTTTTTGAATTTTAAGAACAGAACATAAAAACAAAAGCCTCATACCAGTCGTAAACTTGCCGTACTTGTTTGTGTATTTTGTACTTGAAATCACCCCAGTGTCATATTTTTTATGATACTACTTATGTAAATAATTTTGTAATAAAATTTTTATTTATACTCTGTGGTTTTAATCTCTCATACACAACCCACCACAGCTAATCGATTTTCATTTCTCTGTTAGTGAACGAGTTATAATATACAAACATTGCAAACGTTACTACGAAAAAAACAGACTACGTGAGCTGCGCGGGTTCGAATCCCGTCTTAAGAGATTTTTTCTCTAAGCTGTCGATGATGTAATTGTCCAAAGGTGGCAGACAGGATCATACCGTCGAGCGTGAAGATACCACCCGGAGGATCTCTAAGCAGGGGCCATAATGCGTGCATTCACACGTTTGCCCGCTAAAGCTCGTCTGACCCCCCCCCCCCCTTTGCCCTGTTTCTCACTATAGCTCGATGGTACCTCCACAGGTCTTTAGGCCCGTGTGGTGGCCAAAGTATATAAACAAGAAGACTGCACTTAGAAGCGGATATGTACCAATGTTATTAGAACACAATCTTCTGCTTGCATATTCAATATATTTGAATATCAACGAGCTTACAACGCACATGTCGCTCAGACAAGAGCTTTGTCACTAACTAATCCTAAATCTTGCATAAATCAATTTGCACGTTTAAAGGCTAGATCAACATTTTAGAAAGCCCCGTTGTTTACGTTATTCCTTGGGTTTCTAGATCCGACAAATTCATGAACTCAGTGATAAAAATGACTTGCTCTGACCTGATGTAACACCTAAAACTTATCCTGTGGTTGTCTCATATTTCTCTGACCACATGCAACCACATCTGTTGAAATTACTTATTGCTGACGTTTTGGCCTCCACGGTCGCCTTCTTCAAGTTCAATAATTTAATGAAATATATTGTCAGTTTCATTTATATTTGTACTTTGAAAAAATGCCATCGTTGTGTCCAAAATGTCAGTAAATAGTACTTTCAAAAGATGTAGGTTTTGGCCTGAAAAATATGGAGTTCTATGTATCTCCATGTTACACTAGCTGCCAAATCCAACTCGTTCGCCTTTTCCAAAGAGTCAGTGACAATACATTTTGTTTATGAGTGGTGAGGTGGTAGGCATACCTTGATATACGTTGTCACAAAACGTTGATCTATCATATTTTTAAGAAGCTTCTCAATAAGAATGTTCATGGCATATCGCCGATTGACACTTCGTTTCTTTTTTCTACTACAACGACTGGCTTGCCGTGCCTATAACTTCTGAAGATTGTCGTCGAAGCTGTGGGGCTCGAAGTAAAATGGTATTTAGCTCAGGTGGTAAGTTGATTAGATTATGTCACTGTGTATAAGTTAAAAAATGAGATCAAGAATGAAATATTAAAGAAAAGTTTAATATGCACATTGTTGGAGTACCAGTTTTATCATTTCTCAATGTCATGTGTACGCTTTGTTTGTGAATATCTGAGCGCCGACGTAGCTGTATAAAACTACATTTTTTTAATTTAATAGAGTGAAAAAAGCAGTTTTTTTTATCCTTGTTACCTATAAGTATACTGGTTATTAACCTTCGGCAAAAAGCCGCAGATTATAGGCTGATATGACGTTATTGATACATGCATACACAATTCGGTTCAATGACAAATCAAAATATATTTTTGTGGTCACAAAACCTTGCTTTTATTATGCAAAAGAACAATTAACATCAATTTTACATCCAAGTAAACGTGCTACTATATTGATGATGATTTTATAATGCAAATAATATTTCATGCTTTATTACACAATTAATGCGCACTCACAGGCATGAATCTTCTATGATACTATCACTTTTATAAAATAATGGGCATTATAATAATGCATCTCACACATCATACACAGCTATCACAGAAAATGCAATTATAAATATGATCTAGGTGTCTCATTATTATAAAGAATAGCAACTTCTTAACATTGTCCCTTGAGGGTCTGTGGTCCCATGGAACATGGAAATATGACATTTTTTATCTGTCCCTGAAGTATGTGAATTCTACCTGAATTCGGATGCCGGTTGTGGAGTAAATGCATCAGAACTCTTTGGAACTATCCTGAACTGAGAAATCTTACATAACTGCTCTTCAATAAGCGACGTGGCTAGTGACCCGAAAACTATGTGAAGAAATGTATAGTTAGTTATACCACGAGACAGATTACCGGTTATCCACTTTTACCTAAAAGTACTAGGCATGACATTTTGACTGTGCGCCTACTAGTTATAGAAATTAAATCGTTAAGTCTGCATTGGTTGCAGAATCAAGATTTGGACGATGATTGCCCATATCCAATTTTCAAGAGAATTCGGTTACACATGACCAAACCACAGTTGCTGTTTTCAGCACGCGATAGTTCATTAGAATTTGAAAGCACCACTTATCAATTGTAAAACAATTTTTGTAGGCATGTACGCAATATCGCAAAATTTCAAATAGTAAATTCTTATATGTTATTTAAATTAGGTGTACATTGCGATCTGCTATTTTTTCTCTATCCATAACTAGACTTTTTTCTCATTTCGACAAACGAGTATATTGCTGGTTTTCATTTCCTTAGCAGAGAAGGTGCAGACCCACATTTCTTTTTCTGCTTCTGAACTTACATTCTTCTACCGGATCTTTTTATTCCGAAATTAAAAAAAAAATAAATGAAAAGGTACTCACCGTCCATTTGCACAGAAATGTTAAGGACGGCTGTCACTTACAAGTACTATCTAGCCGATTTCTGAGAATAAAAGGTCCAATGACCATACTATCTTCCATGACAGCTCAGACATTTAAAAATCTTTGTTGAAAATATAACCGACGGATAACGTGAGGATTTTCTGATAACTACACATGAGTATTTCGGCAGTTATTCACTCACAATTGTCTATCCACTTCCTTAGTGTTTATTGAAGGGCTTTTGTCTACAAGATTCAATAATCCGTTGCACCATATGAGGTTGTCTAGATCCTCTACTGTGTCCACCTTGATATTCGTGCAAATGACCAGTATCCCTAGCACTTTGCACAAGGTGAACACATTTATGCGGCTCCGAAAGATAACGTTTGGGAAAGCTATCTGCATACACTCGCGAAGCCGCGGTAACATTTTGAAGACACAAACCATAAAGTCATGTCGATAAACTCGATATCGCTGTACGAGTGTGTCATTTGGTTTCTCGAACCGATCGGTAACTAAATGTTTTGCTCACTTAAACTGCCGGCGCCAGAATTTAGTGCTGAGATGTATCGTGCCTTCTCTCTTTTGATCTGGTCGAAATTCAGGAGCGGATCAGATTTGGTTTAAGTTTAATTGATTTTGGAGAGCATAATATCTCGGTTATCTTAAAATTTTCGTCTACATGCTACTAGGAAAAAGCGCTTATTTTTTCAAGCTCTATACGCCGTGAACAGAAGAGTCCCGCTTTGTCTTATTCGAGCTTGAAAAGGGATTTCAGAAGAATAGTCGATAGTAGGTTTAAGCAACTGAGACGGGTACGGATTGAGCGGATAAAACCAATTTCTTTCATCCATTCAATCAATATTATCAGAAAAATGAACCTAAGATCTTGGCATTCAATAAAATTCGTAACTGTGGATTGAAAAAATATATAATCAATTCGTGACAAAGCCCAATTCATCCGAGGATGTGGGAAGTTCAGAACACATTTGCAAAATACACAGCCTTTAATCTTGCCGATCTTCCGTACCTGCTGAGTTGATCAAACATTAGATATGCTCTGAAACTTTGTCGGGTGTGAACTGCATCTGAGAAGCACCATTTAAGCAATAACCGGACACCATCAAAAGCTCATGCATATGAATGGGTTTTATCATAAAAAGCACCACGCCAATTATTATTTACTAGGTTAGCTGATTGATGTGACAAAACAAGTATTTTTATAATCTAGATCTACCATTGTTCTCAAATCTGGCCTTATCGAATTCCATTCATTCGCCAACAAAGCACTGCCGATTTTAGCAACACCTACAGTGATTTTTTATATTTTATTACCTGCTAGACTAAACCCATTAGGCAAATCTCGTCAGGAATGATAAATGGTTGGCTTAATCCGTCCGTAAATAATCTGTATAGATCATAATTCAATTTTAGTGTTCAGATTTTTAATTCCATCAAGATGACTCGGAAACGCCTCGATTGCCTATGTCACTATGAGTTTGAATTCCAGTATCTAGAGATTTCCTTAGCTTGAAGCCGCATTGGAGATGGTAGGCTCAGCTGCAAGACGTGTTATAATCTAAATGCTAGGATAATACTAGGTGATTTTAAAAGTTTATAGACTCCACATGAAATATGGTTCTCTCTAAAAATACGTCTATTCTTCAATAGAATCTCATATAGGCTCAATCATCTTTTCCAGCAATTTTCTGTTTGAGTTATTCCTTCCTTGGAAATATCTTCTGGAAGCCCTTGATAATGCACGACTGCAGTTTTAATAACCTCTTCACTTGTAACCAGACTAACGAGGAAACCAACAGAGTTATTCAGCTCTTATAGTTTTACCAGTCTGCAGGCAAAGTGATAGAGAGAGAGAGAGAGAAAATGTCACAAATCATGCAGGAGACTGGATGAGTGTGGCTATAACAACTCTCCCCTGTCAAAAAAGGTAACCTATCATTAATTTTAGTTCTACATCCCAAACAATAGATGTCATAGAGAAGAAGAAATCTTTTGAGACGGTTTCTATAACTTGCCTCGGAGTTGAGCGACTGGGTTCAGTCCACACTGCAAATTGATATCGTAATGTAGAATCATAGTTGTAAATTGAGATTTCATCCATAATTTTAGTTTGATGTATAAAATCAGATTTTGTTGGGGAAAGTCTTACTCGAATTAATGTTTGATCTAAAACCAGCGATTCCGGCACCCAACTCGCCAATAAGTTTCTAGACCCTAATCCATCTTCACTGAAAATATGTAGTGTGTTTCATTTAAAAAAAAATCAACTTCATTTTATAGCACTTTTCTCAGACACCCGGTACACAAAGAAATAGGTCATATAAAAAAATCAGAGAGCGTCAATTTTTAACCGGAAATCCTTTACCTGACGTCAGGCGTCAAGCTA